GGAAATCGGTCTGTAGTTCTTCAAGAGAGCGTTGTCACCTTTCTTGAAGAACAAGACCACCACACTTCTGCTCCACGCCTCCGGTGTAATGCCACCATGGAGGACGGAATTAAAGAGCTTCTGAAGGACTTCAAGTACCGGTCTTCCACCCGCTTTCAGAAGCTCCGCTGTAATTCCATCCTCGCCTGGGGCCTTACCGTTTTTAAGGTGCTGGAGAGCCATTCTAATCTCGCTCAGACTGACGTCCGGGATATCTTCGGAATAGTGTCGGATGAGACTCGCTCTTGGATCGTTACTCACACTTGCGTGTGGCTCCAACGATGACGTGTACAGCTGCCCATAGAACCTCTCAATCTCACTCAAAATCTCAGGTGTCCCGGAAACGATGCTGCCACATTCTGTCTTCAGCTTTGACAGGTGGCTCTTTCTGGCAGACAGATCTCTGGCAAAGACTTTGGAGCCTTGGTTCCGCTCGATCGCTTCTTCAATACGAGCTGTATTGAAGTTGCGTAAGTCCCGCCGCATGCATTTGGAGATCTGTCTGTTCAGATGCCTGTATACTGTCAAGTCTGTTGAAGAATGTAGCTTCATCTCCCGTCTAACAGCCATGAGATTAAGAGTGTGATCGGAGAGTTTTTGTGTTCTTCTGCGGCGGGTCTTGCAGAACTTAGCTCCGACCGCATGAACAGTTTCCACGAGCTTGTCATTCATATCGTCCACTTCATTGCAGTCTTCTAGGCACTGAAAACGGTTTTGTAACTCGAGCTGAAAGGTTTCGGGACTTTGGAACAGAGCACGAGGGGGACGGAGCGTTGACTTCATTAGACGAGACCTCTCCAACTAAACGTTTAGGTTCAGTGTGCCTCTAACCATTCGGTGATCGCTACCAGTTTTCACCCTCGCGATCACGGAGACATCACTGAACAGTTGTCGTCTGGTCTTCATAATGAAGTCAATCTCATTTTTTGTCGAACCGTCGGGGCTCGACCAGGTCCACTTCCTGTGGGGCCGCTTCTGGAAGAAAGAGTTCATCATAAAGAGTCCCTCTTTCTCCATGAAGTCGGCCAGCTGCTGGCCCCTTGGGTTCCGTTGCCCTATTCCAAATTTCCCTACTTTCAGCTCACCGTTCTCTCTTGTGCCTAGTTTTGCATTAAAGTCTCCCATTAACACCGTATATTGGGTTTTGGAGGAATGCATGGCTCTAGAGATATCCTCATACATTTCCTCCACCTCCCCATCGGGGTGTGCCGAGGTTGGTGCGTAAACCTGTATGACCTTCAGCGAATACCGTTTGGTGATTCTGAGTATAAGGTACGCAACCCTCGTCGACACACTCCCGATCTTTACAACGTTGTTAACGAGAGACTTGTGGACGATAAATCCGACACCTCCTTGGGACAGATGGTCGCCCTCCCGGTGATAGAGCAAGTTGCCGGATTCGAGGATTACCGTGTCCTCCCCCTCTCTTCGGACTTCGGATAATCCTATAATATGCCAGCGCAACTTGTCTATTTCTTCTTCCAGCTCCACGATCTTCTCGTCAGTCCTCAGGGTGCGTGCGTTGTACGTTGCCAGGTCGAGTCGTCTAAGGTGGCAACCGAACCTCCACCGGAGATTCTTAGCACCCCCTGCCCCGCCGTTACCATGGTCGCCACCGTAGCCAGGAATAGCGGGGCCGCCGGGGACTGGAGGCCGTCTCTTTGTTACATTCATAGGGGGTTATTTGCCATAGTTGCCACGCTTAGCGAGCGGGTTGGCAACCGCAGTTTTTTTATTATAATTTTGGCTATTATCAGGAAGATGCTGCTGCCCATCTCCTGCCTGTTTCCCTTTGTCGCCTTTTACGACACCCACGGGAGGATATGGGGTAGTGGTATTCTTGACCGCCACTACACGGTAAGCAATTCAGGTTCAAATAATTATAGAGACACGTGGCTATCAAAAGCACATCTTTATAGATAAAACGTGTCACATTGTTTGTCCGCGCTGAACTTGTGCAAGTTGGGGTTTTATAATGCGGTTAAAGAATGTATTCACCTCTCGCTCACATAGTGTCGCTTTCTATACTCACACCCGCCGGTAGACTACAAAAAAATACGTGCTAATCTTCGGAATGGCTGATGTAATGCCAGTAGTGATGTAGACAAAAATTTATCCAAAAATTTAAGTAGTATTAAAATAGAAATATAAATATGATAAAGTAAATGGTCTTTAATGATTATCTTAACTCTAAATAAATCCACATTAATAGATCCCACCCAGGCGAAGCCGTTAGTTATAAATGTTATTTTAAAATTAATGTACCTACTTGCGTATACAAATATTATCCCATTAATAGAAAATTTCCAAATAATATAACGTTATTACGATAAATTGTTATCAGCGAGTTTTCGTATGCATGTTGACAATACGCGCTCGATGAAACTTCATTTCTAATCCCATTCTTAATCCCTACGTACTGTATGTACAGTGGCGTAGCTACCATAAGGCTAGGCGGGGTAGTGCTCTGGGGCCCCCAAGCTCAAGGGGCCCCGCAGCTTCCATGAACGACGTTCGAAAAAGTTATTAAATTATAAATCTCAAACTGAAATAAAAAAATGCTTCCTTCAGAACATAAACATAACATTATTAAAAACTAGCACGGGTTATTTCTGGATCTTGACAACAGCGCCACCTACCAGGTCCAAACGTAAATCGTTTAGATCACCCAGAGAACCACTCAAACACAAAAAAATTCATCAAAATCCGTCGAGCCGTTTTCAGAGTTTTAGCGAGACTAACGAACAGCATTGATTTTTTTATATAAGAAGATAAAATTTTAATTTTATTGTCTACGTATTTATTAAACTGTGATCTACTTTCATCATTGTTCATTTTTACTAGCTTCCGCCTGCGATTTTGTTCGCCTGGTTTGGACCAACATGAAAATTATTCCACGGCACCTTTTACGGAATGAAAGTACCAATCCTATAAAATTTCATTCAAATCTATCCAGTAGTTTTTACGTCAATTATATTTAATATAAAAAGAAATAAAGTGGAATAAACAAACAAACTTTCACATTTATAACATTAATAAAGTACGATTATATATTTTCTGCGGTATGACACGTATATACAAGTATGAAGCAGCTTTGCTTTATTATGCCCTGTAGTGGGCAAAAAGGAACTGATAATGCAGGCAGTTTTGCACCTTTAAAGTAATTAGTTTAGTTTAAATAGGGTTCCAATTTCAGTTTTGTCCCGGGGTCTTGGTTAAATAGCTGCGCCACTGTGTATGTACTAAAAGTTCTTTGAAGATTTTTATGTTGATGCTGTACAAAACGTGGACTCAGCCGACTTAAGTAAGAGTATTATTTACTATAGTATAAGTATAAGTTTATTCTCCAAAAAAGTTAGACCAAGATACAATATTTCCTGAATATAATTCAATGATTCTGTCATAATTTATGACTTCATATAGGCAAATTGCTGCTCCTGTATTATTATTGGAAGTAAAGACTAAAAATGAGTTGGGGGGTGACTCGAACTTTAGGTCTAGTTAGTTTGAATAGCATATCATGTAGAGGATGTCATGGGGGTCATGGTTGAATAGGGGCAAAAAGTTCTCATTACACTCCTAAGGGGTCAAAATGGCCAAAAACCAAAAAATTAATAATTATTATTTCGGCTATAACTCGGCCACCTTCGGAGGTTCTTACACAGTCTTTATTTCCCGCATCCCACTTGTTTATATAATGGTTTAAAGTTGATTTTGATATGTAAAAGTGGTGATATTATTGTCTGCGCTTTTAATGGAAACGGTGAAACAAGTGCTCCGACGGTGATGTGAGTCTCAAGATAAGGTGTCCGTTTGCTTTGGCGCCTTGAGATACTATCGCCAACTATCTGCTGGCCCAAGTTGCCATCAAAATCTCTTAAAAACTACGCAATGTGACGCATCAACATATTATGAAGCAGTGAGTAGGATTATTATCACTTTATACGGAAAATATACAAAAACGAAGATCTCCACTGAGCTCTAATATACAGAAATCAGTGATCCCGAATAAAATGAAGACATGGCGTTAAAAAACTAGCATCCAAGCCAAAAATCTTAATAAATAAATAAAAAAACTGGTAGGATGTCAAACAAAGCTGTCACTGTCACCTGTCAAGTGGTATCAATCCCGATCAATCCCTTTGAGCATAGAAAATAGATCAATCCTGCCTATCAAATGTTAATCTGACGCGGAGTTTTGGCGGGAACTTGAACGGCGGCGGTTTGCTGCTCCTGTATTATAGTTTAAATAATACATAGTTTGAAGTGGAATTTGATATGTAAAAGTGGTGCGATTTTATGTACTAACTGTCTACGCATGTGAACTATTAGTGGAAACGGTGAAACAAGTGCTCTGATGGTGATGGATTCTCAAGATAAGCTGTTTGTTTGCATAGGCGCCTTTAGATACCATCGCCAACTGTCAGCTGTCTGCTGGCTCAAGTTGCCGTCAAAATCTCCCAAGGGCTGCACAATGTGATGCATCAACATTATGTGAAGCAGTGAAATTCTATAATATACTCAAAATAAAAAAGACACGGCTGTATGGCATAGTTCCTTTGCCTACTCTTTTGAGCGAATATCGAATAATAAAAACAACAACAACATCAATCTGACGCATTGTAATTTACTATATTTCATAAAAAAATGTAATTTATTTTAATTACAATTTCATTGTTTTTGTTAGCCAAAACCTTGTGATCTATATACTATTCGGGTGTCACAGCACAAATAAATAATTAAAATATAATTATATTACATTATTGTATGTTTATGACAACAGTCCACATACTCCCATAAACAACTCAGAGTTTGTTAGTCAGACTATATACCTGTGACTATATACAATAATCTATGAGAGTGACCAAAACAGTGGTTGTATTTTGTAAATATCGTGTTACGTACACTAAACTTATATGTAAACATAATTCCTGACAGTACTTATACAAATAAATAAGAGCATGGATAAACTAAATTTTCACTCAGGTGCATTTCCCGCATTGTTTGTTACTAATAATTAAGATGAAGTTAATTATTTCTTTTTTAATATTACTTTACAGAAATGTTGAGCAAGTGCAGAACTGCTGGCGATGGCATGGAATCATCTGATTGTGTTTCAGAAAATAGGCCAAAAGTAGATCTAAGGCGTAATGTTGTATCTAACAATACAGACTCTCTTATCGCTGGCCGCTTAGTTCAAGTGTATCCTTCTAAAATAATTACATCAGAAAAGAAAACTTCTCAAATATATTCTAAAAGTCCTAAATTTGTTCCTTATGAGCCATATCCTGGGGCTGTTAAGCCTATAACTCATCAGGCTATGTCAAAAAATACAAAGAAATCAAGAAACAACATGGATATCAACACATTAATATCTCAGATGTCACAAATGGATACCAATCTAAATGAGTTCAAGCCAAGGGCAAAGTTACCATCTGTTATTGACAAATCTATAGAAGATAATGAAAAAAATGATGAGAATAAAAGTTTACAAAAAAAGCTTGGTGACTCTATACAAGAAAATGAAACATTAAAAGAACAATTAAAGCAACAAGTTCAGGTAATCATAAATTTCCATAATATTGTAAAAGGGGCACCCTAAGTAATGATTTTAGATGGGAATTTGTATGACATTAATGTCATCATCATGATCATTATCACCTTTTGTCTCATAGTAAAGTGATGGACATTGCCAATGAGAAAACTTGTCATAGTCAATTACTTTGTGGACTAATGGATAATCTAATGGCACTGACTTGGAAATTATGTTTTAACAAACCTATCATTTTTAACATTGGTTGATAATAGATCATTGCAGTCAGATATTTGTTTCTTTTTAAGGTTCCGTACCTCAAAAGGAAAAAAACGGAACCCTTATAGGATCACTTTGTTGTCCGTCTTTCTGTCTGTCAAGACCCCTTTTCTCAGGAATGCGTGGAGGTGTCAAGCTGAAATTCATATGAAATACTCAAGTCTACTGTTCCTTGGAGCTGTGAAAAAATCAAACTTCTAAGCCAACGCAATCAAAAGATACAGCTGTTTATGCTGCAAATTTTCGACATTCGCAAGGGAATCAAAACCTACAGGGTACTTCCCGTGAACTCAGGATCTTAACATTTGGTACAAAGCAACGTATTATAGCACAGATAAAGTAAAAATTGATTTACATCATATAATAATAATATTTTTAATAATTGTATACTTATATACCTACGGATTTGTTCGGAACTTGGTATGCGAGTCCAACTTGCACTTGGCCGGTTTTTTATTGGATCAATTCGGTTTGGCTTCTATGCCTCATTCATTTTATTCACAAAGAATGAAATTTTAAATAAAAATTGAGAAAAATTATCTTTTTGGCTTTCGTAAAAGATAAATATCACTCATTGCTTTTTAAAATTATAGTTTCAAACATTTTAATTTTTCATATAAAAAGCAAATTGGGTATTGATCTTTGCGGTCTTATATATAGCCAACAATTTTTGTTGGCTTTAACTCTTTTTCGAACACCCAAACTCGTGACTGGTTTTTTGTTTCGGGTTTGTACGCGTATATCCAGGATTCGTCACCTGATACGATGTTGTATACAGCATTTGAGGATCCTGCGTGGAATCTTTCGAGAGTTCTGACGCACCAAGTAACGCGAGCCGCTTTTTGCTCTTTACAGAGCGAATGCGGTATCCATCGGGAAAACAACTTTTTTACACCTCATTGTTCATGCAAGATTATTTGTATTTGACTCATGCTAATGTCTAAAGTTGCCTGAATTTCGCAGTATGTCACATGTCGATCTTCCTCAATCAGCTTACGCACAGCATCAATGTTTTCTTGGGTGACTGCAGTTTTTGGACGACCTTGACGGGGATCATCACTGAGCTTGACACGTCCACGTTGAAATTCAGCAAACCAGCGATAAATTGTGGTTTTGGATGGGGCTTCATCACCAAATGAGGAAATCATCTGGTCAACACACTGTTTTTGTGTTAAACCACTTCGAAAGTCATAATAAATCATCGCTCTTGAATTTTCTCGAGTCAATTCCATTTTCTCAACGACTAAACAAGTTTGACTAAACCTCGTGACAAGACCGAGAATCTTTTTTTAAATAAATAAATGGTATTCGATTTTTAAAACCAAGGACTTTTCAATTAAAAAGATTTTAATATGACAGGAACAGTGGAAATATTCCATTCCCGATACTTTTAGTGCAGCCTATGTAACATTACTTTTCTTCAGGTCAACAAGGAGCTTAAGACAATGTTGGTAGCTTCTATGGGAGAGGACCTTGAAACACAGGTTCAGTCACTTAATGAGGATAAAAAGCACCTAGCAAATGCTTTACTTAATTCAGCTACACACCTTTCAACGCATCAGGTATCCTTTTTTAATTAATTTGAAGGTATTCTTTTATATATTTTATATTTAAAAAAATCTTTTATTGTCAAACACCTTCACATTAACAGCTTTTTATATTTAAGACCACTGCTGGGCATGAGCCTTTCTAAGAGCCAGCTGACATTCATTACTTGGAAGATCACCTGACATTAAGTGGATGCTGTGGCCCATAGACATCTTCATCTATCTCAATTAAGAATCAAAATACAGATATGTTATCACTCCTGAGGACTTAGATGAAATGCCTTGCTTTCAGTTAAAAGGGTCTCCGTTTCTCTATACTCACCATACGAAACACATGAGCATTAAGCTGCTATTACACACTGGTATTCTGCTATTCATACACCACCACTACATGGTGTGGGTTTCTGTCTTAATATGGGACTGAGGGAGATAAAGAAACAGAAAATGAGCAGCAGCATCTTTCTCATAAGAACTGAAACATATAAAACTGCAGTTGCCAACCAGCATGCCAAGTGTGGCATTTATCTCCATTATGAGACAATATAAGGGGAGGCCTATGTATAGCAATGGACTTCGATAAGCTGTAATAAATGAATCTGCCTCCAAAGTATTGATTATGTATGTTGAGAGCATCCAAAGTCCAGCAGTGGTTTTATGTAGTTTGTAGAAACAACAATATTATAAATATTTATAAAATATTTTTATTCATGTAAGCATACCTTTTAATTATGAAAATATTAGCAATATTTTCTTTTGAATATGCAAAATTTTGTGTCAGAAGTAGCATTCCTGACTGCATTTTATATCTAGTAAAAATGTAACCTTTTGTTGTGAAGTACCTAAAATTTTCAAAAAAAGTTCATTAACTGAGCACAGTGGATCTCCAATTTTTAAGTTACAAGTGACCCGCTCCGGTTTCGCACGGATGATTTCTAGATTTCGACAACAGCGCCACCTACTAGGTCCAATTGTAAATCTAAACCATCTAGGGACAAATTCAAAATTGAACAAGCTAAGTTAAGTTTTTGAATTTTAGGGAGACTAACTGACAGCAATTGATTTTTATATATAGAGATTAGTGAATATAGTTGAAAGGATTTTATAAATCTTTTCAGGAACAAACTGAGTGGCTCGCAGGACAATGTGAAGTATGGCGAAGTAAATTTCTTGCTAGCAGGTACGATGCTGTAAAAATATTAATAACTAAATTGCGTGTGTTTTTTTAAAATGCTTACTCATATTTTTTGACCCATAGTTTAATGGTAGAAGAACTGGCTGCTTGTAAAAAATTACTCACTGAGAAAACTATAAAATTACAGCAAGCAATGAAACAATTGCTAGACGAAAGATATAGAGCAAGGGATATGATGCTTTGCACATATAGAAATTTGTACAGTCTTCACGAGAAGTGGCTTGAGAACATTGCCATATCAGAATACATGGGCAACAATAAAATGTACAACATGCCAATAGGCAATTTGAACTTTTCTGCAACACTGCCCCATTCCACAAATATTTTAGACATGGCATCAGTGAATTTGAAATTGTCAGAGAACATCAGTAGCTCTGTTGATAAACAAGACATCAGTCACCTTAATGCATTACCCACGGCTACTGAAACTGAAATGCATGCTGAAAATGTAAGTATAATCTGCCAACTTTTTAACCGATTTCAAAAAAGGAGGAGGTTCTATAGTTTAGACGTGTATGCTTTTTGTGCATGTTCACATTTTTCGGAAATGGCTAAGCCGATATAAATACTTGTATAATAGGCAACAGTGGTCCCATTTAAATTTAAAGAAAAAATTCCACTTTTAAGGATGGAAAATACAAGGTTATTTTTCAAAGAGTAGCCAAAATTTAAAGTTAAGTTCAAATATATGAATAATGTTATACGTGGTAGAGCTATGCTGCAGCTATATTAGTAGTATAGTTGTAGCACGAATGGGTCGGCTCGGGGAAGGACCACGCTCTCACAGAATACCTGCGTAAAATAGCAGCTTAATGCTGCTGTCTATCGTATGGTGAGTGTAGAGAACTGGAGACCCTTTTTACTGGAAAAGAGGCATTCTATCTTATATTAAAATTCATTAATTCATTCATAAATGTAGATGTCTATGGGCCACAGCAACCACTTACCATCAGGTGGACTGTGTGCTCGTTCGTCACCCTATCCTATAAAAAAAAAAACATTGTTGCAGTTTTTGAAAATTCGAGTAAATAAAGCTTCTACTTTTATTTGAAATTACCCCAAATTGAATGTGGTTTATGGGCAACACCATTTTTGCCTACCGATCAATTCTTACGAGTGTGTTCGACATCCCAATGTCACGGCTACCTCCAGATAAAAATTATTAATTTTTGGTTCGATCTAGGCAGTATGAACTTATAGTATTTTATCATGTGCTCGAAACGTCAGGAATATAAAATAAATTAATATACGCGATAAAATCCGAAAAATAGTTCTATTTAAATGTTTAGTGCTCGCGTAGATAAGAAATTATTATAAAAATATAAACATTCTGAAGTCGGTACTAAACCATAGTGTATAGAAGAATTAAAGCCTTCAGAATAACATACATTAAAAACTTCATCCCCTGTTTTGCCATTGTTTTTAGGGATGGAATATTACTTTTTAATTGACTTCAAAAAAAGGAGGAGAATTACAATTTGATTATATGTTTTTTGTATTTTACATCGATTTTACGCCGCCGTAAATTTTAATTTTCAACGAAATCGTCAGAGCGGTTTTTGAGAACGCGATTACAAATTAATATTTAAATATTGCACACACACATATATATAAACAGTGGTAGATACCAGCGTGAAGTACAAGCTACGAGTATAAGCTGAATGCACATTTATCCGCACCGCACATTACACCCGCACCGTACGCGCCGATTTTTATAAAATGCGGTAAGTATACGATATCGAAGGACGAATGCTGATGACGTCATATAACGCGGCGCGTTCGGCGTGTGCTGATACTCAGTGTTGTCTAATGTTGCCAACTTAGTGGATTTTGCACTATAACTGGTGGTTTCGACTTACTTGATAATTTTTGTATTTTTATAACTTTTAATTCATTCGTAATTAATTATACATATTTGAATTTTTTTGCATTGATTATCAATATTATGTATTCTAAGCGATGAATTATTTAAATACTGAACTAACAAAAAATTGTTAAATTTAATTCAAAACCCCAATTATACCTGATTACTTAATTATCAATAAAAATACTTACCTCAAACATACAACAAGTCTTTTTTCTAGTTCAATTGGCCGTCTAAATGTTGAGTTTTCCATAGAAAGATATGGTTTTAGTATATGTAGCAATTCTTGAAATTTCTTGTATGTTAAATGCAAATATCTAAAAAAATCGTTCATCATCATCTAATAAATCTTTAAATAAAGTATACGCCCTTCATATTCTCCATACAATTGCCTTTTTAAATTAATATTATGAATCCAGAATCATCTTTTTCTTCCAAATTTATTTTCTTCTTCCTTTGCCAATAAGCAGGTTATTACTATATTTCTTTCCATAGTGATTTCGAGCGATTAATTTTAATGTACCGTTTCACACCAGTGATTGGAAAAAACTACAAAAGTTGTTGGTAATACAAAAGATTTGCATACGGCGCGGACGATGCGTACGGGCAAATGTGCGAGGCCATCAGTAAAACTCGGCACGTACGGCGCGTACGATCGTACGGTGCGGACAAATGTGCGTTCAGCTTTACTTCTGCGTTTCGCCTGATAAGCCGGAGGCTCAAACCCTCCTCCCCTATAACATAACATGGTAGCGGAATTAAATAGCAGACTACTCCAGCATCTCTTGTAATGGAGAATCCCGCATTGAGCATCCACGATCAAGCTACCCTACTCATCCTGAGCATAGTTGCTCAGGCTGCCCGATACCCAGTAGTTCGTATTTCGTAGTTCGGCAAAGTTCTACTCAACACTAAAACTGCTCAGGGCAAGTAGAGCAATAACGTTTAGATGAACCCTGCCACGCTATCCGTGAATTTCTGCAACACACAGGGACTTCATTCGTACATTAACGCCGTCCACTACCATCTGGAGACGGCGAAGCTGGCCTTGCTCTTTCTAACCGAGATGCAGGTCTCTCCGGCTGATACTTCGTATCTCTCCTACCCAGAGTACAAATTGGAATACTTCTTTTTTCCTTAGGCTGGAGTTTCCGTATACGTCAGAGACGACAATATCCTCGACGCCTCTGCAGTCTTGTAGAACGGACGTTTCCGTCCTTTTGCTGCGCGTAGACAGCGACGATCATCCCCACGTCTACGGGTGCCTCTATAGGTCCCATAGCTATAATGCTGACACAGACCGACTCATCGACCACGTTCAAATAGCTGCAGACTCCGCGATACAACAGGTGCCATCCGCAGATCGTGATCCTCAATGATTTTAACGCCCACCACTCTGAATGGCTTGGTTCACGTTTAACCGATCATGCGGAGAGATCTTTTTATGACTTTGCCTTGTCAAATGATCTGACACAACTGGTTACTTTACCTACGCGGATCCCAGATGTGGAGGATCATGCGCCTTCCTTGTTTGACCTTGTGTTGACCTCTTATCCTGACGAATATCAGGTCTCGTTCTTCATCAGTATTCTATCATCTGCAGTACCTATCGGAGACAGATCCCAAACATAGTGTGGTCACTCCTCTAAAATTGCATTACTGTGACTGCTCCATGCCGAATTTGCGGTTTACACTGGGCGCAAAGCACTTCTCTGCCTGGATGACAATTCGAGTGAGCCTCCAGATATTGTGATGAATATGTGTGCTCGAGAGCTGGCACGGGTTTTAACTCGTATTTTCCGATACTCGTAGGAGGTTGTAGACCCTTGGCGTCATTCCGAACTCATGGAAGACAGATTTGGTGCACCCTATCTCTAAAAGAACAATAAAAATTAATGTAATTGCAGGAATAATAGTTCAGATTAATTCAATTATTTCTCCACGACTGTGCTATTTACTAGTAGTTTTCTTCATCATACGACTTCTTTGTGGAATGGTTTACCACCGGCGATTTTTACGGACCGATACGACTTAGGGACCTTCAAGAAACGAGCATACTCCTTTTTAAAACTGGCAACGCACCTGCAATTCTCGTTCGCCCGTACTTCTATAAAAATATATTATTAAAAAAAAAAATTCTCTTTGTATTTTGTCTAAGAATTTTTAAAGATTTTGTTAATGTTTTTTTTAGGTAATGGCCTTGCCGCTTGAAGTCAAAAGGGAAAATGAGGAACCAGTGAATGCACTCGTAAATCATGCGTACAATAACAGCTCAAATGTTTCACCGCCGGTTGCTTCTTGCGTGCACTGCAATGGAAAAGTGCAATTATTATAATGTTTTACTTTTGTTTTCATTTAGATAATTTTTGGGTACTTTGGGATTACACTGTAATATTTATATTTATGATATAATTTTACACAAATTTAGTTTAAACTAGATTAAGAAATAAGGGGAAAATATTGTAACCTCATTTTTTTAGAATAGTAAAATTATACACAGATGAGCTCCGCTCCGCAGCTTCCTCTTATTTCTGAGAGGCTTTCAGGACAAGGAAATGTCTACCGCTTTGCCCCAATGCGTGTTGCTGACTTCACAAACATCTCTAAGATTTTTTAAAATTTTTCAGACGTACAGGTTTTCTTACAGTGTTTTCCTTCACCGCCGAGCACGTGGTGAATCAGCACTTAAAATTGTAATATTGCTCGCATACTGTTATATATGTTATACACGCATACAAAAGTTACAGCAAGTGGTCTACTACTCCATATCGTCCCGTGGGTGTGGGAGAAACAAACCAGGAAATAGCCAGCAGCGACTTGTTAATTACAACTAAAAACCAAAAACACTGCGGTTGCCAACCCGCTCTTATGAAGGAATCTATTATGGAAGTCTATGATAAGCAGTGGACTTTTGACAAACTGTAACGGTAAACTCTTAAATAATTACCACTGTCGTTTTTGGACCATTGTTTAAAAAAATGCATATACAATAAATTGAGACACGTGTAAGATTGCGATTTATCTTTGAATTAAACTACACAAAGTAATATTACAGTACGCGTCATTAATCTTGACGGCTATAACCGGTGCTACAAAAGATCGCGCATGAACTGCAATTAAAGTGTCATGAATACGCATCAAAACTCCATATTTTTCTCAGTGCTAAAATATATTTGAACTTAATTTGACCAGATTTCATTTAAACTAGGAGACTATTCCAACCCACTAACGATGGTTTGACAATGTTCCTCTCGACGAAAGTATCTTATATGCTACCGTAGCCCAGAGGATGTTGGCTCTTTGTCACTCTGGGCAAACTTCCTAAGAAAAATAGCGCTTATATGAAACTTGCATTCAGTTGAATAGCGACTTTCATATTACGCTTTTATACTTGGTAGAGCCATACTGTAGCTATATTTATGATATAGTTGTAGCACGAATGGGTCGGCTCGACCGGGGAAGGACCCCACTCTCACATAACACCATCGTAAAGTAGCAGCTTAACGCTGCTGTGTTTCGTATGGTGAGTGTAGAGAACCGGAGACCCTTTTTACTGGAAACGAGGCATTCCATTTTAGTCCTCAGGGGTGACAACCCATCTAGATTTTGATACGTAGTCGAGGATAGATGTAGTGTCTATGGGCCACAGCAACCACTTACCATCAGGTGGACTGTGTGCTCGTTTGTCACCCTGATTCTATAAAAAAAAACGCTTCTCCTGTGTGTTGTCATACTTAGTCGGATTATAGTTTGCAACCTGGTTATGTTGCCTCTCTGGGTATTCTTTTTCAAAAAGGCGAATGGACGAATTGAACAACTTTCCTACTGCAATAATAATCTTTAAACTAAAACTTTTCTTTAATTATAATTAATACGTTCAAGAAAATGTAAATTATTTATTTATCGATATAAATTTTATTGATTTGGGTTTGGTTTCTCTGCCACTAAGGCGGAATGAGGTGAAACATTAAACAGGTTTCTTAAATATTAATTATATTTTATATTAATTACATTAAAATGAATAAACCAAACACAATAAAATTATAATCTTAAAAAAGAGAGTTAAAATGTGCAAAAAAGTTTAACAACCACTGAGGCATTGTTTTGTGTATTATTTGAAATTTTATGGTGACACTGTAACAAATTCCTTCACCTCAGTAGCAACTAGCGACATCTGGTAAATTATTAGCCCTAATTGCAACTACTCTGTCCAAGATATATAGCGCGCCCTTATCGGCATTTCAGTAATGGGTGATATTACGAGTATGTGTCTGTTGCTATTTTAGCAAGCACTACGAATTCTTATTATAAACCAGATCGTCCACCCATCCATTACAGCCTGTAAAAGTCCACTGCTAAACATAGGCCTTCCCCATACATTGTCTCATAAAGGTGATATTCCCATAGTTGCTATGCTTGGCAGACGGGTTGGCAACCGCAGTTTTTTTTTAGTTTATATCAGAATTTTTTTTTATATGATCGGGTGACAAACGAGCACACAGTCCACCTGATGGTAAGTGGTTGCTGTGGCCCATAGACATCTACATTTATCCTCGTTTGCGAATCAAAATGCAGATGCGTTGTCAGTCGTGAGGATTAAGATAGAATGCCTTTTTTTCAGTAAAACTAATAAGTAGTTCCAGTAAGAATAATTCTGCTGCCCGTCTCTTACTTACTTACGACACATACGGGACAATATGGGACAGGGAATATTCAACTACACGATAGGTCAGCTACTAGCGGTGGGCAAAACCATATGATGAAATGAAATATATATAATATACATAGGTAAGTACATCAAAATATTTGTGACCATTCCCCTAATGACATGAATTATGAAATCATAGACATATTATTCGATTATCATATCAATACATTAATTTGTTATCTTAGTTTGTTTCAAAGGTCATATATTATAGGGTATATTGCTTTGACAACTGTGTGATACTAAATTATTATAATAAAGTGATAATCTTTATCTTTTAACATTCAACATTGATTCAATGAGAATTTTTTCACTATAATCTAAATTTTTATTTAGGCACAGATTATGTGTTGCCAAAAACTTAACTTATGATCAAAATTATATAATATTAATTTTAATATTAGTCCTTTGTTATGTGACCGATGTTGAAAGAAAATATCGTAATAAAATTGCATATTTGAGAAAAAAAAAATTCAGACATTGACAGTGATGTTGGAATGTAATGTGTAATGACGTAATGACATGTACTTGTGGCAGCCGTGTGGCCTAGTTGTCAAAACGCACTTAGCTTCTACAGCTCGAGTTCTAGGTTTGAATACTAGTACAAAAACACAAATAGTTTGTTTTCGGATTTGTAGTGAATCTCCTTCTTTGCTTCTGACACTGCAATCTAACTATCCTATGAACGGTGGTATAAAACGTATTGTATATCTCGACACGAGTACACTAACATAACCTGAGCTAAAATAAATGATATTTAATATAAATGTTTAAACGATTATTTAAAAAAAAATCGTGACTTATGTCCTTATGTTAATGACTAATAAATCAGTCAAACCGTTTTGGAGATAAACGGGAATATTCGTTTGCACAAACATCCTCTCACCCCAAAAGCAGTTAGTAGTGGGGTTTAGGTTTGTTTATACATAGAAGTGCATTGAGTTATATGTACTACGTACTAGAGAAGCCATTCCAAACAAATATTGTGTCCTACTCTATGTCTTCGCGCATGCGCGGAGACTTTAATATAAGATATTAATCTATAATATAAAAATGAATCGCTGAATGTGTTGCTAAGCGCAAATTTGGAGAGCAGCTGAACCGATTTTGCTAATTCTTTTTTTGTAATATTCCTTGAATTACAAAGATGGTTCTTACGGAGAGAAAAATTTAAAAAATTGCCTGAAAAAGTCAAAAAACAACACTTTTCTGTATTCATATATATACAAAAGATATATATACAAAACATTCATACATATAAACAATACATATACACAAAAGATTCGTAATAATACTTAAAAGTCCATTTGAACTTTAATACCATACCATAAAGTTTAAGTGTTAGTGGAGGGGTTTCGGGAAGGCAAAACAATTGTCGTATAAATATTAATGTCAATATTTGTCAATATTTATACACACTGGCATATAGCTGATGTTATAAGGAATAACTTGGGCTGATTTTATTTTAGGGTTCAGCGAAAAATTACTCCACGCGAGCGAAGTCGCGGGGAACAGCTAGTATAAAATAAATATAAGAATTTAATATAAAATATCTTAATTTAATCTAAACAAACATATTTCTAAATATAATGTAATAATAATTATTTTATGGAATTCACAAATCTTCAATTTACGCAATATTTAGTTTGTATGGATTGCACTACAGTTCAGTTGAACATAGTCAATGTTCGGAATGGCTTCTCTAGTACGTAGTACATATAACTCAATGTAGAGGTGTTTTTATCGCAAAATATTTTACAATGTTGTCTTTGCACATGTAACTGCCCACTTATCAGCTTATCGTAATGTCCTACACCGTTGTTATTTACACAGTTGAAAAAAAATATTGATTACACTTGTGTTAATATTAATTCACTTCATTTATAGCTTGTATTACGTACAAACAAAAAAAACAATAATTGTAAGTAATGTTAATGCTCAACTATCATACATAATACTCTACCTCTGCCTCATTGATCCAGTGGTCGTGAGCGCAACTGCTGATCATGTGATCCGAGGTTCGTATCCCGGGTCGGGTCAAAATTACTAAGTAATTGAACTTTTCTGTAAATAAATTCTCATTGGCAACCAGGAGTCAGTAAAGTTGGCAGTGTTTCAACTCCCGTGCCTCGGAAAGCACGTTGGTCTTTTCTTGGCCTGATCTATCCGATCGCGTCGGGTTGCCGTCCCATCAGACTATGAAAGTAAGGGGATAGAAGACACGTGCACTATAATCTTGTCCTGCGCACTTCGTGGGACTAGCCGCCATAACCGAAATTAGATATGGAGGACATTATACAAAATATTTTTTTGTTACCAAACTAATTTTTATCTATCTACATAAAAATGTAAATATGTAAGTATTCTTTAACATTGAAGAGGGACAGGTTTCATGTGAAATAAAAAAAAGGAATACTTTGGAATATAAAACATATTTATTTAGTTAAATACACTGTAACTATGTACATAACATGTCTATAAAAAATAAAGACTATCACAATACGCTTTGATCTATTCATTTAAGTTTTTAAGACTCTACACACCACAGATCACTTTGGTAAATTAATAAAATTTAATGGATAATATTTGAAGGTGACAAGTTTATAACTTTCTCAAATATCAACCATTCACTGCAGTACTACTCGTGCATAATAACATGAGACCTGAGCCTGAGTCCAATGACGTCAAAGAGATGTGCTTGTACAGTGTACAAAAAAATTACAATGCATATATTATGTCGTGAGGTAATCTAACGAGACTAACAAACGTCGCTCGCTGTACAAACACAGGAGCACGTGGCGTCGCATTCCACGCAAGTCTCATGTTATTGTTCACGAGTTCTACTAAATATTTGGCGTTATTGGTGTAAGCGGTTGTAATAGTGTAACATTTCATTGCCGGTGTAATTGTAAGCGAGATATTCTTTAACCGAAATGTATTTTGCGCCGCCGAACCAATCGATCATAGCGATCTGAGCGATCTTCATTTTTGCTACGAACCAGTCGTGATCTAGAAAAAAAAAGAAATATTAAATATGACAGTAGCAGCACATCCTCGGTTTAGTCGATTCGGAGGAGAGCCAACAGCCTATGAGGCACTGTTTATATTACTCGGTAGCTACAACGTATGACCTTCTTTGCTTTGAGTTGGCTTCAGTCGTCTTTGGGCTCCAGTGACCATTCACCGTTATACCATTGACTAGACTGCAAGCTCGAATGCCACTTTAATCACATAAAACAATACCGATTTTTATATTTTAACAATAATATGTAAAGCGAAAAAAAATAACACAAATTTTACTCCAAATGCCAACTTGAGCACGTGGTGCATCCCGATTGTAGAAATTCTATTAAAAAGTCAATGTACTGAAATTCACAAGCTAGTGATGCCCTGAGTTGTGAGTGTGAGTGTGTGTGCGGGTGCTGGTGCAAGTTTAGAAAGATCCTTTGTCCAATCCAACCTATCACTCTTATTTTACGCAGATATCATTAAATGGCTTTTAAAGGTAAATAAAAATTAAATTTAAAATTTAATTTTTAGTTGACTTTTAGAGAATAACCTGACATAAAATTCGATTAACACCTAATTCACGTTTTGCGTTCGAATAACAGCATGTATTTCATTATTTTTTTCCATTTTCGCCAACACGCTATAGCAAACCACAAACAATGAGTAATCACTACGTTTAAACTCAGAAAATTTATATTCCAGCTTTATCAGTCAGTATTTATTTTTTTAAATTCCAAAGAATTTATACTTACCGTATTCTCACTCGTATTTATTCTGGGCATGCGTGCGTGTGCGCACACACGCACACGCACGCATGCCCAATCTTACGCTAATAATAATAACCTACCTGCTTAATCATCTACGCACCCTATGCTATTAATATATGCATTATATATGTCTGAAAGAAAGTCTGTTTTGCATTAAGTAATTAATAATAATAAGGTATATACGCGATAGAGCCGCACTGCAGCTCTATTATGGTTGTAGCACGCATGGGTCGGCTCGACCGGGATAGGACCGCGCTCTCACAGATTACCAGCGTAAAATAGCAACTTAATGCTGCAGTGTTTCGTATGGTACGTGTAGAGAACTGGAGACTCTTTTTACTGGATACAAAGCATTCTATCTTAGCCCTCAACAACCATCTGCATTTTGATTCTTAATTGAAGAAAAATGTAAGTAGATGTTTATGGGACGCAGCATCTACTTACCATCAGGTGGACTGTGTTCTCGTTTCTCACCCTTATTTTATAAAAAAAGGTAAATATCATAGCTTCAACGTGTATAGTGTGAAACTACTTTTTTACACTTACATGTAATAAAATCTTTACTTATAAATAAAATTAAGCTGAAGGGGTTATTTGCAATATATTAAGACATGTAGGCATGTTATTTTCAAAGTTTTTCTTTTTCGTATGTCCGCACTAATCTTCGGAATGGCTATACCGATTTTGATGAAATTTGACAAACAGATAGAGAGCATTGCCATGAGCTATTTGGGCTACATTTTATGCGGATAACTTGAATATTTGTTGTTAAATACCATATTAATAGATCCTACTTAGGCGAACCCGGGGCGGGTCGCTTGTTTTATAATAAACGTAGTTATCTATATTATAAGAATGAATCGTTGAATGTGTTGCTAAGCGCAAATCTTGAGAACAGCTGAACCGAATTCGCTAATTCTTTTTTTGTAATATTCTTTGAAGTACGAAGATGGTTCTTACGGAGAGAAAAATTTAAAAAAATGCCTGAAAAAGTCTAAAAACAACACTTTTCTATATTTCCATACAAAATATTCATAATAATACTTAAAAGTCAATTTTAAACTATAATACCCCATACCATAAAATTTAAGTATTAGTGGAGGAGTTCCGGGAAGGCAAAACAATTGAGTGACGTTAGTATCGTATAAATATGAATGTCAATATTTATACAAACTGGCAGATAGCTGATGTTATAAGGAGTAACTTGGGCTGCTTTTATTTCAGGGTTACGCGAAAAATAACTCCACGCTGGCGAAGTCGCGGGGAACAGCTAGTTTATATTATATACTCTTTCTGTTATGAGGAGATTAGTATTTTATATAATGTAGTAGTATTGATATATTATGTGGTGATTGGCCCCGTGTCTTGGGCATTACAAACAGAAAATCGTTAGTACATCAAATCAATCTATTGTATACGCGTAACCCTATTCTGTCGTGCTCGATTCTTAAATTTCAATTATAATCGAAATCCAGAATTATATATAAACAATAAGTCCTCGGGGCTGATTTCGACCACTTCGGCAACTTTAAAAAGGCAAAGAAATAACAGAGCAACGAAACATTTGCTTACTAGAATTTTAAATACTTATGCAAAGCAAAGTATAAAATTTACCGGCATGTAGGCTGACTACTCTCAAGTAACTAATGTTAGGATTGTAATATTAAAAGGTAAGTATTAGAAAGATATAAACCTGGAGGGAAATTCGCCATAGCCGGGTGCCTTTCAAACAATGCGGCCTTAGCGAAAGTGTACTCCGGGGTGCCTTCTTTGACCTGTAACAATACACGGTAGGCTTAAAATACATTTAAAGAACCTTAATACGCTACACCTTGTCTCTGCTCCGCTTTACAATTTCTTTATATTATATAAAGTAACACATACGTCCTACTGCTGGGCACAGGCCTTTTCATTTCTGAGTCAGTTTTAAGGCAAGAAAGAGTCTTCAGCACTGTTCAAATGCGTGTTGACGGATTTTGCATGTCAACCATACATTTATTTTAAATTTCTTTGACATGCAGGTTTCCTTAATATGTTTTGTTTCACCCCTGAGAACGTGCTAAATGTCACCACTTACAATTGCAATGAACGAAGTTTTATTGATCGCGGTGGGGATCTATACTATGAAATCTTAATGTGAGGACATATCCTCTGAGCTCTTTCAATTCGTATCCGACTCAAAGATGAGAAGTATCGTTCCTGTATTAGAACAATGGACCCTAAAGAAAAGAACAGCAGTAAATGAAAATTGAGTTACTATATCAAAAGATACCCAGATTCGTCAGAGTATCACAGTAGATTGATGTCCTATATGTCATCGGATATCAATCTATATTAAATCTAAGAAAATGTAAATAGTATTTTAAATTTGAAATATACTGATTCAATTATTTCTTCACTACGTAAGCCAATCGGCATTTATTTTACGGTGTTTTTATCAAAGACTAACTATTCATTAGAGATACTTTATTGTATTATTCCCTACTATAAATGTTTACATGTAAATTTGTCCATCAGACTTTCTTAACAACAGTAAAGCAAAATTTGTTCGTTCCTTAACAAATAGAGCTATTAAAAGTACATAGATAATTAAAGTATTGTTTATATTGCAGAATAATCGTCTCAACATTATCTTTCGAAACGTTTGATAGCAAAATTGATAAGACGAACGTGACATTTCAACGGTGGTAGAGCCCTGCAGCAGTTTTTTGCTGTTGCACGTATGGGCCGGCTCGAGCCGGGTTGGTACCACGACCTCACAGAATACCGGCGTGAAGTAGAGGCTCTGCTTCTGCGTTTCGTCTGGTGAGTGCAGGTGGCCGGAGGCCCAATTCCCCCCCCCCCCCCATCAACATGGTAGCGGAATTAGACAATAGACTACCCCAGGAGGGTACCAGTACCCCTGGAGAATCCCTCGCTGAGCATCCACGACCATGTTATTCCAATCCTGAGCGTGGGTGCTCAGGCTGCCCCGCGTATTCTGGGGGGGGCAAAATTCCGCTCAAAAACAAAACTGCTCGGGGCAAGCTGAGCAACAATACCAAGGCGACCCCTGCCACGCTATCCGTGAATTTCTGCAACATCAGGGGACTTCACTGTAACCTAAACGCCGTCCACTACCATCTCGAGACGGCGAAGCCGGCCTTGCTCTTTTTGACCGAGACGCAGGTTTCCTCTCCGACTGATATTTCGTATCTCTCCTACCCGGGGTACAAATTGGAGCACTCTTTTGTGCCTCGGGCTGGAGTTTGCGTGTATGTTAGAGAGGACATCTGTTCTCGACGCCTCGGCAGTCTTGAAGGTTCGGACCTGTCCATCCTTTGGCTACGCGTAGACAGCGACGACCATCCGCGCGTCTACGGGTGCCTCTATAGGTCCCATAGCGGTAATGCCGAAACAGACCGACTCATCGACCACGTCCAAATGGCTACAGATTCCTTGCTACAACAGGTCCCATCCGCAGAGATCGTGATCCTTGGCGATTTTAACGCCCACCATGCCGAATGGCTCGGTTCACGTTTAACCGATCATGCGGGGAGATCTGTTTATGACTTTGCCTTGGCATATGGTCTGACACAACTGGTTACTTCGCCTACGCGGATTCCAGATGTGGAGGATCATACACCTTCCCTGTTGGACCTTCTGCTGACCTCTCATCCGGACGGATATCAGGTTTCCGTCGATGCCCCTCTCGGCTCTTCGGACCATTGTCTGATCCGGAGTATGGTGCCACTCACGCTCCCTTCGCGGTTGCGTTCTGCAGGTTGCCGCCGTGTTTGGCATTACAGGTCGGCGGATTGGGACGGAATGCGGTCTTTCTTTGCATCCTACCCATGGGGGCGGGTTTGCTTCTCGCCGGATGATCCCAGTGCTGTTGCTGACTCTGTCACTGATGTGGTGCTACAGGGAATGGAACTATTTATTCCATCATCTGTGGTACCCATCGGAGGCAGATCTCAGCCTTGGTTTGGTCGCTCCTGTAAGACTGCATTGCGCAGTAAGCAGGAGTGTTATCAAGCCTGGGCTGCAGCTTCGGTGACTCGGGATGTAAACACCAGCACACTTAAAAAGAAGTATAACTTCGCCTCCAGGTCCTTCAAAAGAGTTATTGCCAAGGCAAAGTCAGAGCACATAGGCAGAATTGGCGAGAAACTAGTTCGCCTTCCTTCGGGAACCCGTGCATTCTGGTCTCTCGCCAAGGCTGTCCAAGGGAATTTCTGTAAGCCATCACTACCATCTCTGCACAGGGAGGATGACTCACTGGCCCATGACGCAAAAGACAAAGCCGACCTTTTAGGCTCCCTTTTTGCGTCCAACTCGACTCTTGATGACGGGGGGAAAACACCGCCGACCATCCCGCGGTGTGAGTGCTCCATGCCGGATGTGCTGTTCTCACAACGCTCGGTTCGCAAAGCACTGCTCTCCCTGGACATCCAGAAGTCGAGTGGGCCTGACGGAATCCCCCCAATTGTGCTGAGGACGTGTGCTCCGGAGTTGGTACCGGTCCTAACGCGTCTTTTCCGGTACTCCTACTCCCAAGGCGTAGTCCCGAATTCATGGAAGACAGCTTTTGTCCACCCGATCCCTAAAAAAGGCGACCGCTCAGACCCGTCCAACTATAGGCCTATCGCGATCACCTCCTTGTTCTCCAAAATAATGGAATCCATTATTAACTGCCAGCTCATCCGGTACCTTGAGGATCACCAGCTGATTAGTGACCGCCAATACGGTTTTCGTCGGTGTCGATCAGCTGGTGATCTTCTTGTCTACCTGACCCATAGATGGGCGGAGGCAGTAGAGTCCAAGGGGGAGGCGTTGGCCGTTAGTCTGGACATTGCGAAGGCCTTTGATCGGGTTTGGCACAAAGCGCTTCTTTCAAAGCTGCCTTCCTATGGGCTTCCCGAGAAATTGTGCAATTGGATCACCAGCTTTCTTGCAGATCGGAGCATCAAGGTCGTTGTAGACGGTGCATGTTCTGACTACAAGCCTATTAACGCTGGTGTTCCACAAGGCTGTGTGCTATCACCAACGCTGTTTCTTCTGCATATCAATGATATGTTGCTAACTGGTAACATTCATTGCTATGCGGATGACAGCACTGGTGATGCTCTATACACCGGCCGGGCCAATATTTCTCGGGAAAACGTCGCCGAGTACCGGAACAAACTTGTGTCTGAAGTCGAGTCTTTGCTGGACAAAGTCTCGGATTGGGGGCGACTAAATCTAGTCCAGTTTAATCCTCAGAAGACACAAGTTTGCGCGTTTACCGCTAAAAAGAACCCCTTTGTCGTATCTCCTCAGTTTCAAGGCACTCCCCTTCTTGCCTCAGCCAGTATCGGTATCCTCGGAGTCGACATATCGAGTGACGTGCAGTTTCGTGGTCACTTGGAAGAGAAGGCCAAATTGGCCTCTAAAAAGCTTGGCGTGCTCAGCAGAGCGGGACAGTATTTCATGCCGGCACACCGCCTGCAACTTTACAAGGCGCAGGTTCGGCCTCACATGGAATACTGTTCCCATCTCTGGGCAGGGGCTCCCCAGTGCCAGCTCCTTCCACTTGACCGCATCCAGCGCAGAGCGGCTCGAATCGTCGACGACCGAGCCCTTTCCGATCGGCTCGATTCATTGGCACTGCGAAGAGATGTTGCATCTCTTTGCATTTTCTTTCGCATCTACCATGGGGAGTGCTCTGAGGAATTGTTCGGATTAATCCCAGCCGCCAAATTTCACGAACGCACATCGCGGCAGAACTCCCGATACCATCCACACCATCTGGATGATTGGCGGTCCACCACTGTGCGATTTAGAAGATGTTTTCTTCCTCGCACAACTTCCTTGTGGAATAGTTTACCACCAGGGATTTTTCCGGACCGATACGACTTAGGGACCTTCAAGAAAAGAGCCTACTCCTTTTTAAAAGGCCGGCAACGCATCTGCAATTCCCCTGGTGTTGCGGTTGTTCATGGGCGGCGGTAGTCACTTACCATCAGGTGAGCCGCATGCTCGTTTGCCCCCTCTCCTATAAAAAAAAAAAAAAAAAAAAAAGACATAACTCATGAATTAATCGCGAAAAGTAAACACAACTTTTCTGATAACTCCGGCTGATCTCTGAACGTGACCGTCTAGGGTTTTTTTTGTTAATCGATGCGAAATGATAATTGATGGTGTTCGATTTATAAACAAAGTTTCCTTATTCACTCATACACGTAAAAAGCAATCAACAAGATAACGCAATTAATTTTTTTGTGGAATAAAGGCGACAAGCGAACACACAATTTACAGACTAAGATAATTTCTCGTCACAAGTAACTAGTCAATGCAAATGAATTGTGGATTTTCCCAAATACTGATTATTCCTTAAATTTGTGCAAATTTTTGATATTATTTCTTCCTTTGATTATTGACCTTATCATCTAAGAGGCACCAAGTGCCTGTTATAATAAGGTCAATAATACTTATTTTAAGTGTCGATAATCTCTCACCGTAACTGTTTAAGCTCACTTTATTATGTTATCCTGTAATCTGTTATCCATCCATTAGATATTCGTATTGCACTCTTGGAAGGCTCAAATGCTGAAGTAGTCAAGTGATATGGGCGCGTGCGACGCGGTGAAGTTCACGTTTGTAAACTAAAGCACATGATCATGATCGTGATGTTGTTTGATTGAATTTTTTTACACATAAGAAGAAAAAAATATATATCTATTCAATTATTTTGAGAGTGGATAGATTTATAAAAGATAATTTAAAACTTGATTTTTAACATACCTTCTTCATTTTCCCTGAAAGCATTAATCTTGTGCATCGCGGATCTTCAGGGTCCAAGTTATGTTTTTCGCAATAATTTGTTTCTTCCAAGGACACGAGAACTGTGGCGCGCGTGTTTTTCTGTTGAAATTATATGATTAAAGAGAAATGGAAGGAGAATGTTGTGTTAAAAATATTATATTCATTTACATAAAAAGAAATTTTAAAATACAAATATAAAATTTTATATTATTATAAAATACCGCTACATAGGTAATAAAAATACCGGACTGTGTGATAATTTTAGTTTTTCTCATTGTAACAAATATTTTACATAATTATGTTTTACATGTTATAATAAAATATAGTAGAGTTTAAAATTATAATTTAAACTATATGGATGTAAAAGAAACGAGAGAGGTGTGTTAGGATAGCCCCAATTGGAAGTCCGTAGTCTCTGCATACCCTTCTGGGTGACAGAAATGAGAGTATATGATGATTTTAAACAAGGGCTGGTGAACCGTTAGTCGCTTTCATCTCTGTATTGTGGTGCCAAAATTAAAACATTACAATAATACGTTAGAAACTATGTTAACGTAACGTAGAAGTAGAAGCAGTTTTCAAGCAAACGGAAACACCGACACTTAATACTTTCTACCCTTAGCCCTTTATACTGGCAATGAAGCACTTAATTTTAGTCTTTAGGGATCTTCATTTTGATTTTAAATTGAGGATATCAAAGGGATGCTGTCCTTCAAGTGGACTATGCATTCATTAATCTTTATTTGTATAAAAATAAACAAGTAACCCTTATTAGATAACATCGTAAACAATGTCCAAAGACACAGAGACAATTGCAATATTGGATGGGTATGTTATTTTTAAATGATTAACCTTTTTTGATAGTTTGTTGTGGCTAGAATTCAAATAATGTCTTCATAATTGATCGTAATCGACGCGATGCTTACCGACAAATCGCGTGCAGTAAAGTCCAAAGGGGACATGTAGAAATAAGGCACCCCGGTAGAGTTGGCTAGAGAGCCATCGACGATGGACTTAACGTTTGAGAACGGGAAACCTTCAATCGCCGGTAGAATTGATATAGTAGCTATCGATGCCCAATCTGCAACACGAAAACTTAAGCATTTACAACCTAAATTTCTAGCCTCTCGGTAACAAGTGGAATTTGTCGACTGCGTTTGCAAATTTTCAATTTAGCTAGAATTAGCCTGGCGCCTGCGTGTGTCGTTGGTATTTGTATAAACGCGAATGTTAGCGACAAGGACATGGATTATGTTTTGTGCTCTTTTTTTTTTACAAAATTTGTACTTTAGTCCCCTTTTAGATAAAGGTATGTATGAGTTTATAAATAGAAGTATGTAGTAATCTTAACAGTTATCTACCCTGTCCGTGAAATAAACAATATTTAATTTAAACGATACAAATGTTCATGTATATGATTCACGGAATAGGGAAAGGTACTTTGACATTCGCAATGTTACTTGATAGCCTTTGGATAATTCGCGCACGAATGACTTTTGCATCGTATTGATGACACATTTTTAAAATAAAAATCTGTATAGATAGTATGAATGCCGAAAAACTGCAATAAAACAGCTACGAAGGCCAGCTTAACACCCAAATGCTATTTATGTCATCCATATCAAGGTATAAAACTGTATGTACGCAAAGTGGCACAGGAGGCAAATACAAAGTTAAAATACAGAACAACAATTGCCAATGAGATGCACAAGGGATCTGGGAGACTTGGGAGCAAACCTGTGGTTAGGTTAGGTTATAAAAATTGAAGTAAAGGGGAATATGCCACCCTTTTCCCCAAATGCCAACCTCAGCTGTACCATCGGTATACTTTCGGAAAGATTTCTGGCGAAAGGTTGATACAATTTCACAGATTGGTGATGGGAAGCATCACGAATGATCAATACAGTTAAATAAAGATTGAAGGTGTTATTAAAAAAATAATAAATATTGAAATAATGAAAAATGTTAAAAAAATTGGTAAGAAATAGACTATCCAACTGATATATTCGCGACTTTATAACTATTTATTGTCTTCACACGTAAATGGTAGCAAAAATTATAGCATGCACTTTACGACTGTCGTAAAGAGGTTCCTGTTGTGGCATTTCTATTTTTATCTTTGTGATAAGTGTGGCGGTAAAAAAACAATTTTATGCAATGAATACCATTTAAAGCCTTACGAGAACACAGAATATGGGAGAACGTTAAAGAGTGTATGACTTTAGTTTTGTGATAGGTAGCAACACTAACAAGGTAATATATCCTGCGTAGTAGTTTTTTTTTATATGATAGGGTGAGAAACGAGCACACAGTCCACCTAATGTTAAGTGGTTGCTGTGACACATAGACATCTACATTTATCCTCAATAAAGAATCAAAATGCAGATGCGTCGTCACCCGTGAGGATTAAGATGGAATGCCTCTTTTCCAGTAAAATGGGTCTGTGGTTCTCTACACTCACCATACGAAACACAGCATTATTAAGCTGCCATTTTACGCTGGTATTCTGTGAGAGCGTGGTCCTTCCCCGGTCGAGCCGATCCATTCGTGGTACAACTATACTACTAATATAGCTACAGCATGTCTCTACCTGTCTTTTAGTAGTTATTCTGGAGTCTCTAGTCTTAAATTACCAGTGTATATTATTTTCCAGTATTCGATGTTCCTGTTGTTTTTATAATTGTATCTATATGTGTGACAAGTATGCATAGTATCTATACTTGATGGTAAACGGAACCTGAGCTCCATAAACACTACTACTATGCTACACCTATGCTTGATTAGAAATCAGATGTGTTGTCACTTTTTAGGCCTAAATGGGAATGCGTCATTACCAGTAAGAGGGGTCTTAGAGTGTCGTTGTTCACTATACGAAATACAACAGCATTGTTAGGGCATTTTACGTTAATACTCTGTGCGAGTGTCGTCCTTTCCGCGTGGCCCTACACGTCACAAAGAGGAAAAATATCAGCGTTTATGTTCTTCAATAGGTAATATATATATTATGCATGTCGAAAACAATACGTTACCGCAGTTGTGCATTACATATCTCGCCATCTCAATCAGTTTGTTGTGATCAGGAGGGTCAGCAGAGCTCTTGTGATATATCGCCCTTCGCGTTGGTATTTCATTAGTTTGTTCTAGAGAGTTCTGTCTTCGTGGCCTGCGTTCTTCTGTAGACCAAGTTTTGGATTCGCCGTGAAAGCAAAGAAGGCATATTGCTGCCCCAAACAGAAGCCACTTCATTCTTATTTTTTTATTAAGCTGCAAGAAATGCAGGTATATCTTGAAACGTACAAAATTATGTTCTTTTTTATTATTCTAGTATCTTATACCGTTAAGAGTGGGAAATTTAGTTTGTTTTACATTACGTAAGGTATAAATATCAAGGATTATAATATAAAATTATTATCTGTACTAGGTAAAATTACTTTTTGCTTAAAAAAAAAAACGGGAACGCTTTAATCTTATTTCTTCATCATTATCATCATCATTACAACTCACCACAAGTCCACTGCTGACATGGCCTCCCCCAAGGGATGCCACAAAACAAAGTCCTAAGCCATCTGCTTCCAATGACTTTCCTGCATTTCTTATCAGGTCGTTACTCCTCTAGTAGGAGGCCGCCATACACTTCGCTTACCGGTACGAGACCGCCTCTCGAGAACCTTTGTTCCACATCTCAGTCAGTTTTCGCTTCTTGAGCTATATGGCAGGCCCATTGTCACTTTAGATTACTGATCCGTCAGCCTACGTCGGTTATTCTGGTTCTACTGCTAATATCTTCATTCCGCAATCTATCACGCAGAGAAACTCAGTTTTCTCATACGAGAATAGCAGTAAAGGACCACGTCTAAGATCCATGTGCCATCACTGACAACATGTACTGGTTGTATACTCTTGTTTCCAAGTTTTGAGGTGTAACGAGATGTGTCATAATCTCCTGAACGCTGTCCAGCCTACTTGGATCCAGCGACTGATCTTTCGGTCGAAGTTGGACTTATCTAGTCGGTAAACTAGTCGGTTTGTACTAGGCATACTAGTCAAAAATTTTGAGCTTAATGCTCCAAACGACTACCGGCATTGATGTAACAAGGACGTTTTCACGCGACTTTTGTCTTTTCCATTTTATCTTAGACCTACACGTGTATTTAAACCGTGTTAGAGTACTTAGCGAGCATCGGATATATCTTATTTATAATGTCGTTGTCTACTAATTTTCGCAATATGGTAGTTATTGTTACCTACATTAAGGCAATTAAATAAAAATGTTCACAACAAAAATATTTACAAGGTGATTGTTTTCACTCCTATTTGTTTACGGAGTGGCATTAAGGACTTTACGTATTCTTTATATCAATTACGTACTTCGTAGGTGATTGTTTTAATAGAGGCCAAAGGTGCCGGTCTTCAGTTACCATATTTTCTAATAATAGTAATCGTTGTAACTTGATGAAACTCCAATAAAAATTCATTAATTTCATATTATAACGATGGGTGTAATTAAATATATACCAAAGTTTAAAAGCATTGTCTGTCCTTACATGAATACTAGGTTATAGTAATGAAATAAAATTATGGTATTGTCATCGGTTCTCGCAAAATTTAAAAATTTTCAGGCGTCCGAACGTGGGTGAAAACTATTACATTCATACACACATACATACGGGTCAAGCTATTAAAAACGTGTTAAAATATAAGATTAATATTTGACTACTCTGGTAAAAAGTCAAGGTCAATTGTTTCTTAATAGTTACTATAATTTTTTTAACTAAATCAATACTTGTATTGTTTACAGCGTGACGTGGCTTGCTTATTAAAGCTTAAAGCTATAAAAATGTCAGACAGAATCTATACACCGCACCGTTTCCCAAAACCTAGAAAGGAAAGAAAAGGAAACAAAAAGAGGAACTAAGTAACTCAGTGGTATTTTCTTAAATGTCATTAATTTATTACCTACAACTTATTAAAATTAGAATCAATACGAAGTCAAATACTTATCTATTTTTTAATCACGGTTTTTAAACATACACGGTCTCACTCATAAAAATCGAGTTAAGAGTAAAAAGAAAGTTAAACGTTGCATTTTTTCTTTTTTTGTAAATAACTATAGATATAGGTATAGAGATAATTATACTTAATTTATGTAAACGATAATTAACGATTATAGGGTGGATGCCCCTATTACCAGCCTTTTAGTGCCAATTTCAACTTTAAAAATTCCTGGTATTTTAATTAGGGCACAATATTTTTAAACATTTGTTTTAATCGATAGGTTATTTATAGACAAATGTAATGAACATTTATTTACAATCATATTATTTCAAGAACAATTTTAAAAACGACGATAAGCAAAAAACGGCGTTATGGCTCAAATTCCAAATTAATGCCAGCATAGCATAGGGTTGTGCCTTTTGAGTTTTTGGTTCAAAATTAAAAGTTACCTATTGTAGGTAACTTTTAATTTTGAACCTGCATGTGACAAGCATGGGATATTATTTAGGCAGGCGACATCATTATTTTATTTTAATGTTTTACTACTTAACTTACTGTGTTTTAGTTTAAAGCAGTTCAATAAAATAAAGCAAATTATGATAAAATATTATGTAGTATATCGATTTCTAATAATTTAATCATCCAAGTTTCCAAATCATCATCGTCATTATAACCTGATACAAGTCCACTATGGAACATCCTCCTCCATAGACTGCCGCAAAGCCTGGTGCCAAACCACTTTACTTGTCATGAGTTTATCATTTATGTTCTAATTTGTAACTAGTATTACTAAGTTATAGTTTTTGTTTTTCTATTCAAATAAATAAAACTGAAGTGTCTGTTTGTAATGTCAAAATAACAGCTTTTTGAAAGTATATACGGTACCTATAACAAAAACACAATTTTTAAAATTGTTAAAATCAAGTTTTGCGTCTAGTATAACTCCTAGATCTTTAATTGGATCCACCTTGCATAACTCTGTATTATTAATATTATAGGTATTATTTATAAGATTGCGCTTCTTTGTAAATGTTATTGATTTACATTTATTAACATTAAGCTGTAGTTTATTTTTAGTACAGTACAAAATTTTTAGTTTAGTACAGTAGAAAGTATAAACGGTACTTATAACAAAAATACACTTTTTTAAATTTTTGTCTGTCTGTCTGTTTGTTCCGGATAATCTCCGAAACGGCTGGACCGATTTCGACGGTACTTTCACTGAACGATAGCTGATGTTATAAGGAGTAACTTCGGCTACTTATATTTTAGAAAAAGAATTAGGGTTCCGCGCAACATAAATAAAACCCATATAGTTATTGCTTGTTTTTTCTTCTTTCTAAATAAATAATTGAATACATAAGCTGACCTTAATATACACCGAATGTCAGATAGAAAAGCTAGTACATTTATTACTTTTGCTTAACTTTAAAATCTAAAACCAATTTTAAAACAGAGGAATTGATCATAACTCCCTTAACTATAAAATAAGTTATGATCTAATTAATAGTATTTATTCCAGTTTATAACAGCCCTGATTTATATTACGCGGCTGAAATTAGGTACGCCAAACCAAATAACAGCCGGGCGGCTGACATTATGCACTTCATACATTTCGTATATCTAATTACAGCCCCATTAATATCCACTAAAAGAAAATAAATAACTTGTAAATTTTAACAAAAATAACTGCATTACTATGTCTATAGTCATATTCATACAAATCAAAAATATACAGGCATATATGAGACTAGCTGTTCCCCGCGACTTCGCTCGCGTGTTAGGGTTTATATGTTTTTGTGCGGAACCCTAATTATTTTTCTAAAATAAATGTAGCCTAAGTTACTCCTTACGAAATCAGCTATCTGCCAGTGACAGTCCCGTCAAAATCGGTCCAGCCGTTTCGGAGATTACCCTGAACAAACAGACAGACAGACAAAAATTTTAAAAATTGTATTTAAGTTATAAATACCGTATTTACTTTCATATGCACTTTGTAAAAAACTGTAATTTTTGCATTACAAACAGACACTTCAATTTTATTTATTTGTATAGATAATGTAAAGTAAGCATAATTTTACCGGGAACATTACTTGTCAAGAAATTAGAAAAATAAGCGTTTTTCGTCGCGTACGTGTTTTGATTTTTAATTTAACACTGTTAGGTTTAAAACTGTGAGGTATTTGAAATATACTTTCCTCTAGTTACGAAGAATTTTTTAGGTGACAATATTTGTAGTTAAGACCAATAGAAATCTTATTTACGAAGTAAAAAGGCGAAAAGGCTGGAATTAGGGGCATGGCTGGTATTAGGGGCATCCACCCTATACATACTATGAATTACTATCTTCCATTGCCAGTGCCGTGTGGTGAAGATATAAGAGAATCTAGTAACTCATTTCATTCCGTTGGTGTTGAAATAGCAACTATGAGAAATGAATGCCAGCTAGTAGGTATATGTATATACAGTAATCTATGACTGCCAGTAAGCCTAGGTAGGTACCTACCTAATCACATGACCTCCGAAAGTAGGCGGTATAGCCATCTCGTTTACGCCAAGCGTAAAATAATATGACCGGCAACGGGAAGCAGCGTTAAATTTTTCTTTAGCTTAGAGTTTTTAGTAAGTACTTTAGTAAAACGAATCAATTTTACTTCTGTATCAATATTTTTTTTAAATTGGTTTAAGAAAAGGAAGGAAAAATTACGATGACTAACGGAAATTGGATATGTGCAACTATGCTATGCTACGCTGGAAGTCAAATTCGTGAGCATCATACAATATTTATTACTCATTTGCAGCAAAACTAAGTATTGTACTAAAATAGGTAATTAGTTTTTGATATGACAGAAAGTTGTATACGAGACGCGCGCAAAATATAAGGAATCGTGTTGCGTATCAGCAAGCGCATCTGGCACCTGACACAGTGACGTCCTTATCTATGACGTCACTGCAATCAAGCGGCCGCCAAAAATGCGTACTGCAACTAGTTATTTGTTACCATTTCAGTGCCCCCAGGCCCAGACTAAACTTCAATTAAATTTTATAAAATAGTTTGAAAATATATAGAATCTTATAATTTAATAAAAATACACAACAAATACCCCTGAAAAAACTTACTACCCTACTGGTACTTGGATACTCGAGTAATAATCAAGGGGGGTAAACGTATGATCCCATAAATAACTAAACAAAATTTAAGTATTTACATTAAATTAAAGCACACATATGCACCTAAAACCATGTTGATGGTTGCATTTGATTTTAGGTACATAATATATGTGCTAATGCTATGATGCGTATTATAAAACTGAAGTCACAAACAAATTTACAGTCCATAGTCCCAACCATACAAAGAAAAAGAAGGCCACAGAGGTGTTGACACCCCTTAGAACACACTAAAAGCATTGCAATTTGGCGGCAGAAATAAGTAAAAGGATAACTACCTATGACTATGGAGAATGGACATGGAGGATAGGATGATACCACCTAGTAATTAGTATAAAAATTTATATAAAGTATTGATAATATATACACATTATATTATAAAAGTTAGGGTAATGATTTTATGTATTCGGAAAAATCGCCTTCCTGAAATTATAAATTCGTAATCGAAAAACCAAATTTTTCAGGAAAAATAAAATAGAGTAGGTACCGTTTTTTATTTAGGTATGAAATGGAGTTTTTCATTTCTGAAATTGACGTCAACATAGGACATCAATTATTACGATGAGTAAGGCCTTTGTATTAATAAACGCACTTTAAGTGATGTGCGTAAAATTCAAATTTTCAAAAAGTTACTTAGCTAAATTTTCATAGTGACAAACAAGAGATTTCAAGGTTATGATCAAGGAACATACCTGACGAGGTTAAGACCTATGGTTAAGACTTATGATGCAATGTTATTCAGAGTAATGTTAAAGAGATTATATCACTAAAAATACGTTAAATAATTTATAAATAATTTTTAAACATATAAACGAAAAATTAGAAAAAAGAATATAATATTATTACGTTACGACGTGATATGTTTTTATGTCTTACTGGCTATGTCTGTATTTCAAAACACTGAAAAAGTATTAATTTTATGATTTACATGACTTTAAATGTAAAAAAAAAAATGGTACATTTGGGTGCATTCAATTTGTTATAGAAATTTAATTTTACCTTAAAACTACGTAGCTGATTTTGTGTGTTCAAGTTTTCACAATGCAATGCCAATATTACTTGGCAAAATTTTATGTTTCATCGAACCAAGTTGTAACTGGAAGCACGAAATAACAGTGTTCTCTATGAAGCACACAGAATGACTAGCACAGAGTACATTATATATATGACTAGTACCAAAGAGTATAGTAATTAGTAACTGTCCACTAGTACACACTACAAAGAGTACCTTTGTATAAACCGAAAGACCAGTAAATATAAATTATATAGTACATATAGGTAAATATGCGGGCAGTGTATATAATGTACTCTGTGGGGCAGTGCTATGCTGATAAGTGAAGAACAAAGAGTATATAAATTACTCTTAAGAATTTAACTTCTCGTGTAATTACCTCTGTAATTACTATACTCTTTGAATAATGTAACTAAACGCATTTTTATAACGGTAACGGTTGCATAAGCATCATATTAGTCAGTGAACTGTAGTGAGAATTTAACTGGCGCTATGGACTTTTTCATGTAGAACTACCTGAACTACTGATTAATTTCAATTCAATCGCTCCGTGAATTTTCCCTATATAACTTCCTCTACGCTGGATTAAATTACTATTTATAGAGTAACTCTTGTTACATCGTTTTGTAAGGGATTCTTGATTACTATACTTTTTGTATAAACCTGTTTACGAAGCATAGAATATAATTACTCCTAGCGAATTTACGAAGTATAATATTATTATAATGTTATTATTCAGTCATATCTTCGGTATATTAGTATATAGTCTATGGATCATATTACCTACACTTTAATATGTTAGCTTCAATTCGCATAGTGTAATATACAGTATACATCCAAGGTATACTTAGTTTTGGCGGGAACTTGACCGGCGGCGTATTGCTGCTCCTATATTATTGTTTAAATAATGGTTTGAAGTGGATTTTGATATGTAAAAGTGGTCCAATTTTATGTATTGAACGTCTGCACATGTGAACATAGATATTCAATCCTTACAAGTGCTTCGATGTTGATGTGAATCTCAAGATAAAGTGTATCTGCTTAGGCGCCATGACATAATATCGCCAACTGTCTGCTGGCTCAAGTTGCCCTCAAAATCTCCCAAAAACTATGCAATGTGACGCATCAACATATTGTGAAGCGATATACCAGGATACTTAGATAAATAAAGATATGGCTTAAAAAACAAGCATCCAAGCCAAAATCTTAATAAAAAAGGTATATTTAGTTTGTGCGTTTGCAAAGGCAAAAAGAGACAAACCTATATTAAAGATATTGAGTGTAATTCATACGTGTAAATTGAAATGCAGGTGGTATCTTTATACTATGCCAAATATGTGAGTACTATAGTGCGGCCAATGAAAGAATGTTGTTCGCGACGGAAAAAAGTGATTAAACATATAGTACCTAGTAGTACCTTAGTAGCTGAACGTATAGTAGCATAGTACAACGCAGTAACTAATAGTAGTAGCTAGTAGCTAGTAACAAGTGATAATAGAAGCAGAGAGCAGTTGATAGTACTAGTAGTAGTCAGGGCTCGGAACCGGTTTCAAAAGAGCGGTTTAATTCGATTAATTACCGGTAAATTTATCGTTCCTTCAATTACCGGTTAAAAAATTAACCGGTTTTGATTAAACCTAAACGATAAAGGTTACCGGTTACTCAACGGTTTTGACAACCAAATTAACCGGTTAATTCCGTAAAACGTAAAGGCAGTTATGAATAGGACAGGTGGATTCACGTTGGGAGGAGCTTATGCGGCATCGCCGCATGCGGGCACACTTATCATCAATTATCTGCCTTTAAGCTATACGTTTTTTCAGTCGCGATCAGGGTGTGTAGTGGGAGTTTGGTGTTTACGAAAAACGTGAAAGTATTAGGGATGTTTTGAAAACAGAAAGGCAGTTGTTGTGTTTATTTTATTCGTTAAGACTGGACTTGTCTTATAACGAAAAAAATAATTTATTCTTGTGTATCGGTTGTTTATTAATGATGGGCAGAAAAAAATATTAAATTTTTTCCATGTTTACATTTTAACAATGAGAGCCACGCGGCAGCTTTTGCTATCGCATGCATGGGCCACCTCGAACCAAATTACCACGACCTCACAGAATACCAGCGTGAAGTAGAAGTTTACTTCTGCGTTTCGCTTGATAAGTATAGGCGGTCGGAGGCCCAATCCCACCAACCCCCTTTAAGTATGGTAGTGGAATCAAATAAAAAACTACCCCAGGAGGGTACCAGTATCCTGTTGACAGAGAATACTTCGCTGAGCAGCCACGTCCAAGCTACCCTATTGTTCCTGAGCGTGCTCAAGCTGCCCCGTGTATTCTAGTATACTAGGGGGTATCCGCAGAAATCGTGACCCTTGGCGATTTTAACGACCATCAATGCGAATGGCTCGGTTCACATTTAACCGATCATGTGGGGAAATTTGTCTATGACTTTACCTTGGCATACAGTTGCACAGCTGGTTACTTTGCCTACGCGGATTCCAGATGTGGAGGATCATGCACCGTCCCTGTTAGAACATCTGCTGACCTCTTATCCGGATGGATATCAGGTTTCCGTCGACAACCCTCACGGCTCCTAGGGCCATTGTCTTGTCCGGAGAGTGGTGTCACTCACACTATCTTCGCAGTTGAATTCTGCAGGCTGCCGTCGTGTTTGGCACTATAGGTCGGTCGATTGGGATAGGATGCGGTCTTTTTTTGCATTGTACCGTCGTTGAGGGTGGATTTGCTTCTCGCTGGACAATCCCAGCAATGTTGCTGATTCTGTCGCTGATATGGTACTTCAGGATATGGAACTTTTTATTCCATCTTCTGTGGTGACCACCGGAGGCAGATTCCAGACATGGTTTGGTCGCTCATGTAAAATAGCATCACACTGTAAGCAGGAGTGCTACCAGACCTGGGCTGACGACATCAACGTCTCGAGATGTAAACACTAGCGCTCTTCAAAAGAAGTATAATTCCGCCTCCATGGTCTTAAAAATTCATTGCCTAGGCAAGGTCAGAGCACATCGGCGCAGTTGGTGAGGGGCTAGTTCGCCATCCTTCGGTAACCCGTGCATTCTGGTCTCTTGCTAAGGCTGTCCAAGGGAACTTCTGTTAGCCATCTCTGCAAAGAGAGGGGGACTCACTGAGTCCATGCCGCAAAGGAGAAAGCCGATCTGTTAATCTCCCTTTTTGCGTCCAACTCGACTCTTGATGACGGAGGAATACACCGCCGACCATCCCGCGGTTCGAGTGCTCCATGCCAGATGTGCAGCTTACATAGCACTCAGTTCACAAAGCACTCCCCTCCCTAGTCGTCAACAAGTCGAGAAGGCTTGATGGAGTCCCTTCCATTGTGCTGAAGACGTGTGCTCCGAAGTTGGCACCGGTTTTAACGCGTCCTTTCCGGTACTTCTACTCCAGGAGTAGGAATTTGGGATAACGCCTCAGGAGGCGTTACCCCAAATTCATGGGAGACAGCTTGGGTTCACACGATCCCTAAAAATGGTGACCGCTCAGATTGACAGGTCTATCGCCATCACCTGCTTGTTCTCCAAAATAATGGAATCCATTATAAACAGTTTTCGTCGGGGTTGATCAGCTGGTCATCTTCTGGTCTATCTAACTCATAGAGAAGCGGAGGCAGTAGAACACAAGGAGTAGGCATTGGTCGTTAGTTTGGTCATAACGAAGGCCTTCGATCGGGTCTGGCACAAAGCGATTCTTTCGACGCTCCCTTCCTATAGGCTTCCCGAGAAATTGTGCAATTGCATCACCAGTTTACTTACTGATCGGAGCATCAAAGTCGTAGTAGACAGTACATGCTCTGATTACAAGCCTATTAACGCTTATGTTCCACAAAGCTGCGTGCTATCACCAATGCTTGCTACTGCATATCAATGATATGTTGCAAACCGGTAACAACGACAGCACTGGTGATGCAATATACACCGGCCATACCAATATTTTTCGGGAAAACGTCTCCGAGTACCGGAAAAAACTTGTGTCTGATGTGGATTCTTTGCTAAACAAAGTCTCGGATTAAAAGCAGCTAAATCTAGTCCAGTTCAATCCCCAGAAGACACAAGTTTGCCCGTTTATCACTAAAATGAACCCCTTTGTCGTATCTCCTCACTTTCAAGCCACACCCCTTGCTGCCTTAGCTAGCATCGGAATCCTCGGCGTCAACATATCGAATAATGTGCAGTTTTGTGGTCACTTGGAAGGGAAGGCCAAATTGGCCTCTAAAAAGCTTGGCGTGCTCAGCAGAGCGGGGCAGTATTTCATGTCGGCACATCGCTTGCAATTTTAGAAAGCGCAAATTCGGCCTCTCATTTCTGGGCCGGGGCACGCCAGTGTCAGCTCCTTGCACTTGACCGCATCCGCAGAGCAGTTCGAGTCGACGACGTCCGAATCCTTTCTGATCGGCTCAATACACTGGCACTGCGTAGGGATGTTGCATCCCTTTGCATTTTCTATTGCATCTACTTCGTGGAGTGCTCTGAGGTTCGGTTTAATCCGTCACAATTCACGATACCATCCTCACCATCTGGATGCTTGACGGGCCACCACTGTGCATTTTACTAGGAGTTTTCTTCCTCGTAGAACTTCTCTGTGGAATTGTTTATCACCGACGATTTTTTCGGGCCGATATGACTTTGGGACCTTCAAGAAAAGAGCTTACTGCTTTCTAAAAGGCCGGCAACGCACCTGCTATTCCCCTGATGTTGCGGTTGTTTATGGGCGGCAGTAATCACTTACCATTACACGTGACCCGCATGCTCGTTTGCCCCCTTTTCTATAAGAAAACGTACGACGAGAAAATCCAAAAGTCTAAGTGCTTGATTGAGGGCTGTAATACAACTATCAGGGTGGTTTCTAGAACACTCATTATACCTAAATTTATCCAATAACTGTACTTGTTACGATCCAGGACTCAAAATCAGGACCAAATCATTGTCCACAGTCGCGCTAGTAACCACATACAAACAGACAATTTTTTTTATATTATATACTTTCATGATATGTATTTAGTAAAAATTGGTTATTTTGACGTTACGAACAGACACTTCAATTTTATTTATTTGAATAGTTTCATATTCGTAAAGTATGAAAGTTTGTGAAAACTTCGAAAGTGATTACTAAATTATTTTGATCTTGAGGCGTCAGAAAACTTGGCTGCTCTTTTAATAATTCTCTTTTATAATTCAATACAAGATCTTAGATATCTAGTTAACTGAGAGTTATTAATAGTTACTATAAATAAAAGACAGGATTTTTAGTGTATTTATTTGGTTACA